CAGGTGTGGATCAGCGTGGCTTGTTGCCACCTGGCTTGGATCAGCGTGGGTTGGTGCCCACTGGTGTGGATCAGCGTGCTGTAGCCCCATCAGGTGTGGATCAGCGTGGCTTGGTAGCAACTGGAGTGGACCAGCATGGGATGGTGCACACTGGAGTGGATCAGCATGCTGTAGCGCCTCCAGGTGTGGATCAGCGTGGCTTGGTGCCACCTGGCATGCATAAGCGTGCATTGGTGCCCAGTGGCAGAGGTCAGCGTGGGTTGGTGCCCACTGGTGTGGATCAGCGTGCTGTAGCACCAACAGGTGATGACCAGCGTGGCTTGGTGCCACGTGGTGTGGATCAGCGTGAGTTGGTGCCCACTGGCGTGGATCAGCGTGCTTTAGCACCAACAGGTGTGGATCAGCGTGGCTTGGTGCCACGTGGTGTGGATCAGCGTGCTGTAGTGCCAACAGGCGTGGTTCAGCGTGGATTGGTGCCACCTGGCATGGATCAGCGTGGGTTTGTGCCTACTGGCATGGATCAGCGTGCTGTAGCACCACCAGTTGTGGATCAGCGTGGCTTGGTGCCACCTGGCGTAGATCAGCGTGGGTTGGTGCTTACTGGCGTGGATCAGCGTGCTGTAGTGCCACCAGGTGTGGATCAGCGTGGATTGGTGCCACGTGGTGTGGATGAGAGTGGGTTGGTGCCCCCTGGCGTGGATCAGCGTGCTGTAGCACCACCAGGTGTGGACCAGCATGGCTTGGTGCCACCTGGCGTGGATCAGCATGGATTGGTGCTTACTGGCNCAGGTGTGGACCAGCATGGCTTGGTGCCACCTGGCGTGGATCAGCATGGATTGGTGCTTACTGGCGTGGATCAGCGTGCTGTAGCACCACCAGGTATGGAACAGCGTGGCTTGGTGCCACCTGGTGTAGATCAGCGTGCTGTAGCGCCAACAGGTGTGGTTCAGCGTGGATTGGTGCCACCTGGCGTGGATCAGCATGGCTTGGTGCCACCTGATATGGGTCAGCATGCTGTAGCACCACCAGGAGTGTTTCAGCGTGGATTGGTGCCACCTGGTGTGTATCAGCGTGGATATGTGCCCCCTGGCATGGATCAGCGTGCTGTAGCATCACCAGGTGTGGATCAGCGTGGCTTGGTGCCACCTGATATGGGTCAGCATGCTGTAGCACCAACAGGTGTGGATCAGCGTGGCTTGGTGCCACCTGGTATGGATCAACGTGCTGTAGCACCAACAGGTGTGGATCAACGTGGCTTGGTGCCACCTGGCGTGTATCAGCGTGGTTTGGTGCCCACTGCCATGGATCAGCATGCTGTAGTACCAACAGGTGTGGATCAACTTGGCTTGGTGCCACCTGGTATGGATCAGCGTGCTGTAGCACCACCAGGTGTGGGTCAGCGTGGCTTGGTGCCACCTGGCGTGGATCAGCGTGGGTGGGTGCCCACTGGTGTGGATCAGCGTGGTTTGGTTCCCACTGGCGCAGATCAGTATGTTGTAGCACCACCAGGTGTCTATCAGCGTGGCTTGGTGCCACCTGGTGTGGATCAGCGTGGGTTGGTGCCCATTAGCATGGATCAGCGTGCTATAGTGCCACCAGGTGTGGATCAGCGTGGCTTGGTGCCACCTGGTGTGGATCAGCGTGGGTTGGTGCCCACTAGCATGGATCAGCGTGCTGTAGCGCCACCAGGTGTGATTCTGCGTGGCTTGGTGCCACCTGGTGTAGATCAACGTAGGTTGGTGCCCACTGGCGTGGATCTGCATGCTGTAGCGCCAATAGGTGTGGATCAGCATGGCTTAGTGCCACCTGGTGTGGATCAGCGTGGGTTGGTTCCCACTGGCATTGATCAGCGTGCTGTAGCTCCACTAGGTGTGGATCAGCGTGCTGTTGCGCCACTAGGTGTGGATCAGCGTGGGTTGGTGCCACCTGGTGTGGATCAGCGTGGGTTGGTGCCCCCTGGCGTAGATCAGCGTACTGTAGCACCACCAGGTGTGGATCAGCGTGGCTTGGTGCCACTTGGCATGGATCAGCATGGGTTGGTGCCCAGTGGCGTGGATCAGCGTGCTATAGCGCCAACAGGTATGGATCAGCGTGGTTTGGTGCCCACTGGCGTGGATCAGCGTGCTGAAGCGCCACCAGGTGTGGATCAGCGTGGCTTTGTGCCACCTGGTGTGGATCAGCGTAGCTTGGTGCCCACAGGCATCAATCAGCGTGCTGTAGCACCAACAGGTGTAGATCAGCGTGGCTTGGTGCCACCTGGCATGGATCAGCGTGGGTTAGTGCCGAGTGGTGTGGATCAGCGTGCTCTAGCGCCAACAGGTGTGGATCAGCGTGACTTGGTGCCACCTGGTGTGGATCAGCGTGCTGTAGCGCCAACAGCTGTGGATCAGCGTGGCCTGGTGCCACCTGGCATGGATCAGCGTGCTGTAGCGCCAACAGGTGTGGATCAGCGTGGCTTGGTTCCACCTGGTGTGGATCAGCGTGCTATAGCGCCACCAGGTGTGGATCAGCGTGGCCTGGTGCCACCTGGCGTGGATCAGCATGCTGTAGCGCCAACAGGTATGGATCAGCGTGGCTTGGTGCCACCTGGTGTGGATCAGCATGGGTTGGTGCCCACTGGCATGGATCAAAGTGCTGTAGTGCCACCAGGTGTGGGTCAGCGTGGGTTGGTGCCACCTGGCATGGATCAGCGTGGGTTGGTGCCCACTGGCGTGGATCAGCATGCTGAAGCGCCACCAGGTGTCTATCAGCGTGGCTTGGCGCCACCTGTAGTGGATCAGCGTGGCTTGTTGTCCCCTGGTGTGGATCTACATGCTGTAGCACCAACTGATGTGGATCAGCGTGGTTTGATGCCGTCTGGTGTGGATCAGCGTGGCTTTGTGCCCCCTGGCATGGAAAAGCGTGCTGAGGTACAACCTGATATGGATCAGCGTGGCTTGGTGCCACCTGGCATGGATCAACATGGCTTGGTGCCACATGATGTGGATCAGCGTGGGTTGGCGCCCCCTGGCATGGATCAGCGTGCTGTAGTACCACCTGGTGTGGATCAGCGTGGCTTGGTGGCACCTGGTGTGGATCAGCGTGGCTTCGTGCCTCGTGGCGTGGAAAAGCGTGCTATAGTACCACCTGGTGTGGGTCAGCATGGCTTGGTGCCACCTGGTGTGGATCAGCGTAGGTTGGTGCCCTCTGGGATGGCTCAGCGTGCTGTAGTACCACCAGGTGTGGATCAGCGTGGCTTGGTGGCACCTGGTTTGGATCAGCATGGCTTCGTGCCTCGTGGCGTGGAAAAGCGTGCTATAGTACCACCTGGTGTGGGTCAGCGTGGCTTAGTGCCACCCAGTGTGGATCAGCGTGGCTTGGTGCCACCTGGTGTTGATCGGCATGGCTTGGTGCCTCCTGTCATGGATCAGCGTGCTGTAGTACCAACTGGTGTGGATCAGCATGGTTTGGTGCCACCTGATGTGGATCAACGTGGGTTGGTGCCCCCTGGCATGGATCAGCTTGCAGTAGTACCACCAGGTGTGGATCAGCGTGGCTTGGTGCCACCTGGTGTGGATCAACGTGAGTTGGTGCCCCCTGTCATGGACCAGCATACTTTAGTACCACCAGGTGTGGATCAGCGTGGCTTGGTGCCACATGATGTGGATCAGCGTGGTTTGTTGCCCCCTGGCATGGACCAGCTTGCAGCAGTACCACCAGGTGTGGATCAGAGTGGCTTGGTGCCACCTGGTGTGGATCAGCGTGGGTTGGTGCCCCCTGGCATAGATCAGCGTGCTGTAGAACCACCTGGTATAGATCAGCCAGGCTTGGTGCCACCTGGCATGGACCAACTTGCTGGAGTACCACCTCGAATGGATCGGCGTGGCTTGGTGCCACCTGGCATGGACCAACTTGCTGGAGTACCACCTCGAATGGATCGGCGTGGCTTGGTGCCACGTGGCATAGATCAGCATGGGTTGGTGCCTCCTGGTGTGGATCAACGTCGCTTGGTTCCACGTGGCGTGGATCAGCGTTCTGTAGTACCACCTGGCATGTATCCGCGTGGGTTGGTGCCCCCTGGCATGGATCAGCGTGGTTTGGTGCCACGTAGCATGGATCAGCATGGGTTGGTGCCACGTGGCATAGATCAACATGCTGTAGTACCTCCTGGCATGTATCCACGTGGGTGGGTGCCCCCTGGCATGGATCAGCATGGTATATTACCACCTAGTGTGGATCAGCGTGCTTTATTACTACCACCTGGTGTGGATCAGCGTGGCATGGTGCCCCCTGGCATGGATCAGGGTGCTTTAGTACTACCTGGCATGGATCAACGTGGGTTGGTACCCCCTGGCATGGATCAACGTGCTGTAGTACTATCTAGTGTAGATCAGCGTGGCTTGGTCCCACCTGGTGTGGATCAACGTGCGGTAGTACCACCTGGTGTTGGTCAGCGTGGCTTGGTGACACCTGGCGTGGATCAGGGTGCTGTAGTGCCTCCTGGTGTGGATCAGGGTACTGTAGCGCCCCCTGGAGAGTATAGGGGTGCTACAGCACCCCCTGGTGCAGATCAGGGTGCTGTAGCACCCCCTGTTGTGGATCAGCATGGCCTGGTACCACCTGGCGTGGGTCAGCGTGGTTTGGTGCAACCTGGGGTGGTTCAGCATAGCTTTGTGCCATATGGTATGGATCAACGTGGTTTGGTCCAGCTTGGTACAGGGCAGCCTGGAATGGGTCAGCGTGTTTTGTTACAACCTAGTACAGGGCCACGTGGCTTGGTTCAACCTGGTGCATACATGTCTGGCTTAGCTCAACCTGGTTTGGTCCAACCTGATGCTTATCTACCTGGTGTTTTCCAACCTGGTGCATATCCTGGCAGTTTGGCTCAAGCTGGTGCATATCCTGGCAGTTTGGCTCAAGCTGGTGCATATCCTGGCGGTTTGGCTCAAGCTGGTGCATATCCACATGGTGTGGTGCAACCTGGAATGGATCAACGTGGTTTGAGACAACCCAGTGCTGATTGGCAAGGCTTGATGGCATCAGGCACAGAACCTCGTGGCTTTCCAACATTCCAGAGAGATCCTCAGGGTTTGACATCACTTCGCCCATATCCACCTGGTGTGGGACCTTCTGGCCGAAAGCCACGTGGCCAGGTGTCATCACTGTTACCCAGTAGAGGTTTGGCATCACCAATTATAGACCAGAGGGGTTTGGCACCACCAGAAACCTATCAGCAAAGTTTGATGCATCCTGGCCTAGAGCAGCGGGACCAAGCCCCAGATCAACAGCTTTCGGTATCATCTGGGCCAGATCAGCCAGAACAGGTGTACCCAAGTGCAGTTCAGCCAGATAGAGCATATTCTGTCTCTGCCTCTGGTGGCCCAGATTATGAGGGTATTGGTCCACATGATCAGGAATATTTGGATCTACGCAGAACAAGTGATTTACAGCAACCTGGGCGACCTGCCCAGGCTGCCTCTGTCCAAGAAGTTCCCTCTTTCGTGAGTCAAGAAGACTCCGAAAGGAGTGAGGTCCAGAGTGAGCGACATGATTCACTGGAGAAACTGGCCCCCAACTTCCCCATAGCGGTGGAAACGTTTCGTCTGATGGGAGAGATGATCGGTCTCTATGTGGAGCTAAAGGAGAGAATAAAGGATCTGGATGAGGAGAAAGCTGGCCAGACTGACTTGGAGAAGATAGAGTACCTACTCGCACAGATGGGTGGGTACCACTTGTGGGGTGTGGGGGAGGAGAGGGCATCCTTTCCTTCCCCTGGCCACAACTATAGGCATAGCGTCCCTCTCAGACCTTCTGGGCTCCACAGGCCTTCAGGGTCCAAATGAACAGGTAGGGCAAAGGCTGGGGCAGGCCAGCGGGACTGGTGGAGCCTAGGGGAGGGATGGAGAGTGCCTCTTCTGCCTCTGTCAGTCCTCCTGGAGAGCAGCTGGGGGAGGTGTCGGGAGGCGTCGGGAGAGAATGCTGAGGACTGAACTTAACACTTGCTCAGGGCTGGGGGTGTCGCTAAGTAGAAGAGTGCTTGTCTGGCTTATGCCAGGCTCTGGGTTCCATTCCCAGCATAGGAAGAAAAATGGTCCAATCACAAGTTTAGGTTCCAGGGAGTAATTAAGATTTTAGTTGTGGGTCAGTGGGCGGGGTTTCTATGGGTGCAAGACAACCCTCTTCCCTCTTCCCTCATCTCCTCGCCCCTGTCACCAGGGAAGGCAGTGTTCTCTGGGGTCCTTCATTTTGTGGGGTTGGAAAGAGAGTGGGAGCCCACTGGGAATCTAACCCTTTTGACATTAAGGTCTCCATTTTTCCTAGTCCAAAAAACCATACCCCCTGACCTGCAGGAACAGCTGAAAAGCATAAAGACCTTGGCCAAAGAAGTTCGGCAGGAAAGAGCCCAAGTATGTAAGGGAGAGTGAACCTCCTTTGCCTTCTGGATGGGGTGGGTCAGAGCCCTTGTGCTTTGTGCTTGAGGGTGACAGAGTCCTTTTTCAGATCTGATTGGACCTTTGCCATCCCTCAGGTAGAAAGTGCACCCTGGGTGTTACTGTATTTGTTTCCTGACCCTCAAAGCTATTAAGATACAGCTGAGTTAAGCAGGCTTGGCACTTTCTGGGGACAGAGGTCATTGCAAGGGGCTGCTAGGAATTCAGCATTCTCAATGCCAACGACTACATCCAGGAGGTAGATGGGTGGCTGGATATCCAGAGAGGACCTAGATTTCATTAGGTAAAGATTAGAGAATGGAGAGGAGTGTGTGGGGACTGCAGGATCACATGCAGGAAAGGGGGGGGGGCAGGCCTACCTGACCTTCCCCTTCCATTGGGTTTGCAGCTGAACAAGCTACAAAGAATCCTGGAGGGTGACAGTGACCGGGAAGCAGGGAAGGAGCTGAAGGCTAGTCAGCTGAGCCTGCAGCTGGGCATCATCAGGTGAGATGCCCCTACCCTGTGCACTGCAGTCCTGGTGTCCTGTGTTCCCAAGCCAGAAGGTGGTGGCAGCCTTCACTTTTCCTCCTGCTCTGACCTGACTGCTGTCTTTGACCTGGATCATACCTAGTCTTCAGGTTGCCAGATCTAGTTCAAGGAACTGGTACAAGTTCCCCAGGTTCCTAAAACAGCTCATTAGCAGGTCTAAGAAGAGTGCAAGGCTCTTTACACTGTCCCCAGGGAGATGCAGCTCAAGCTCCTCAGAGCTCCTCTTTGCAGGGCCCTGTATCACCGCCTAGAAGCCTTAGGCCAACACATGGGGCAGCCCCTGGAACAGAAGTAGGACCTGGGGCTCCCTAGACAGAGCCAGCCTCCTCTCATCCCCTGCGTCCGGGGTGGCCAGGCTCGGTACTACTGGGCTCCGTTCTCTGGGCTGGCCCTGGAACTAGGTGGTCTCTTATGTATCCAGAGTCACCGTGGCTGACATTGAGAAGGAGCTGTCTGAGCTGCGGGAGAGTCAGGAACGAGGCAAGGCTGCCATGGAGAACTCCGTCTCGGAAGCCTCGCTTTACCTGCAGGACCAGGTGAGGAACTGGTACTCCTCAGCTCCAGGGACCACGCACCCTTCTCAGAGTTGGCTATGGACAGTGGACAGGCCTGCTTCTCACTCCTCAGAGACCAAGCTTTCAGGTTCCTCTTTGCATGTGTGGGGAGGTGACTGTGTCTAGGATTCAGCCTCCTCCCAATGCAAAACCGAAATGGGCCACAGGTGCACAGGCACGGGCATCCTGGAGCAAGGTGATGATGTGCTGTACACCTCCCACTCATCTACTTTCCCTGTCCTTCTTTCATTATATAATTTACATATTATAAAATTGCCCTTTTAAAGTGAACAAGACAGTCGGGCACAGTAGCACATACCTCTAATACCTGGGCTCAGGAGGCTGAGGCAGGAAGGTCACAGGCTGGAGGCCAGTCTCAGCAGTTTAGCAAGACCCTCAGAAACTTAGCAAGACCCTGTCTTAAAACTTGAAAAAATGTAGCAGAGTGGAGGAGCACCCCGGGGTTCCAGTACCAAAATAATAATGATAATAAAGTGAACCAGGTATTTTGTAATAACTCACAAGTTGTGCAACCATAACAACAACCCAGTTCCAAGATGTTTCATCACTGCCTAAAGCCTCTTTAATCCTGTTAGCAGTTTCTCTCCCACACCCCATGACCCCCCCACACAAGCCCCAGGCCCTGACAACCATTCTTCTGCTTTCTGTCTTTTGGAAGTATCTTCTTTTGGACATTCATTTCATAGAAACAAAATCTTGTGATAAATGGTCTTTTGCATCTGGCTTCTTTTTCTGAGTAGTGTTTTCAAGGTCCATCCATGTTGCAGCACGTATCAGTCCTTCACTCTTTATTGTTCAGGACAATTTCACTTTGTGGCTATACCGCAGTTTATCTATTCATCAGTTGAAGAACATTTGAGTCGTTTCCATCTTTTGGCAATTAGAACTAATGCTGCCATGAACATTCCTGTACAAGTTTTTAATGTGGAGATGTTCTAATTTCTCTTAGGAACATACCAAGAGTGGGATTGCTGGGTCATATGACAACTTTAATTATCATTTGGGGGACTGCCAGACTGTTTTCCAAAGTGGCCACACCATCTGACATTCCTCCTAGCAATGTTGAGAGGGTTCCACTTTCTCCCTGTCCTCACCAACACTTGTTATTTTCTTTCTTTTAATTTGAGCCATCCTAGAGAGTGTGAAGTGGTATCTCATTATGGTTTTGACTTACATTTTCTTGATGACTAATCATGCCGAGCACCTTTGCATGTGCTTTTTGACAATTGTATGCCTTTTTTTTTATCGATAAGGGATACAAATGTCTACTCAAATCCTTAGTCCATTTTTACATTGAGTAATTTATCTTGTTATTGTTGAGTTCCACCAGTTCTTTACATATTCTGGATACCAGGCTTATCTGGTATAGACTTGCAAACATTTTCTCCCACTCTGCAGGCTGTCTTTTCTTTTTTTTTTTTTTTTTTTTCTTTTTTGTGGTGTTAGGGATGGAACCCAGGCCAGTCAAGAGCTCTCCCACCAAGCTACAATCCAGCCTCTCACTTTCTCAATAGAGAGTGTCTACCTTTGAATCTTGAATGACACTGTCCTTAGTTTTCCTAGTAAAGAGTGTCTGACCTAGAGCAGTCCCCTGAGCACTCACAGAACGACCACCTAGGGAAAGCCACTGGGCCCAGGGATTCCAGTCAGGAATCCCTGTGTGCCTTGAGCCATGTTGTGGTCTCTCTTCCCAGCTGTTGGTGCAATGGCATGTAACATTTCAAGACTGAGCCAATTATCCCATGTGGGGCAGAGAGGGTACAAAGTCACCTGCTGGCCCAAAGTTCGTGTCTGGTCTTGGTAACCAGCAGGGACCTCCCAGGCTTCCCCCTGGTTGGCCCTAGCTCCCTGTGCAGCCTCTCCTCTAGTCAAATCTTCTTCACGTCCAGCCTCCAGCCCTCCGCCTTCCTGCCTGTCTTTTAGGCCCCTCCCCCTCTCTCGTGCTGTCTTTGTTCTGGAATTCTCCTCCTGGATCTTCTTTACCCAGAGAGCTGCTTTATGTTCTTCAAGGCATCACTGAAATGCCCATTTTTCTGGGACTGTTCCTTTTCCCTTTGAGAGAATGACTCTGTCCCTTTGCATCCCAGAGGCCTGCTATGTGCTGGCCTCAGCCAAGGCCATTCAGTTGCAAGTCCTGTTTGTTCAAGCAAAAGGGAGACACATTGAGTATATACAGAGTTGGGAGGCGGGTATGTCCAGGCCACAGCGGGCAGTTTGGGGTGTTTCCCCATGTTTGGTGTTCTGCATACCTTTGTCTTTTCCTCACCCATCCCTCTCAGCCTCCCCACCTCTCTTCCATTCTGTTCCCAAGCAACTTGTCTCTTACACATGGTTCCAAATGGCTGCCCTGAGCCCTGTAGTTTTTTGACTTTTCTGCCTACTACCAAATTGGGGGATGGGTGGATGGGGGTACAGGTTGGCCATGCCCCTTTTTGAGTCAGGCAATGAGTTGAGGGTCTCTGGCCAATCCTGGTTGGTTGCTCTTAAATTGTGCTCTGCTTAGGCCCGGTCATTAGCAACAGCAAGCTGGACAAGGGGCTGCAGAGGAGAGCAGCAGGGCCAGGCCAAGCAGCTGTCCCTGGAAGGGGCTTATACCCCCTGACCCTGAGAGAGCCCTGCAGCACTGTCTTCACTGTCCCATCCCTTTACTGTCAGTTATGCACATACTTGGTGGGACAGAGCATGGGCAAGCCCACCATTCACACCCCTAGTACCCCAAGCAACCTGGCTGTCATCAGAGTGTTGTGAATGTCTATGGATCACTTTAGGGTTTAGCCAGAGCAGATCAATGGGCTGACTGGAGAAAGGTCCAGAAACCTCCTACCTGCAAATGCTTTATTCAATTGAATTTTTACTTTTGGTGGTACGGGGGTTGAACCAGGGACACTCCACCACTGCATTATATTCCCAGCCCTTTTTATTTTATTTTTTAGTTTTCCGTGGACACAACATCTTTTATTTGTATGTGGTGCTGGGGATCGAACCTGGGCCGCACGCATGCCAGGCGAGCGCACTACCGCTTGAGCCACATCCCCAGCCCCTATTCCCAGCCCTTTTAAAAAATACTTCATCTTGGGGGCTGGGGTCATGGCTCAGCAGTAGAGCGCTCGCCTAGCACATGTGAGCCCCTGGGTTAAACTCTCAGTACCACATAAAAATAAATAAGATAAAGGTATTGTGTGCAACTACAACTAAAAAATAAAATATAAAAAATAATAAAAAAATTTTCATCTTGAGACAGGTCTCACTAAGTTGCTGAGGCTAGCCTCAAACTTGCAATCCTCCTTCCTCTGCTCCTGAGTCCCTAGTATGACAGATGTGGCCACAACATCCAGCCACCAGTGCTTTATGTGGCGTTCAGGCTGACCCCAAGGAGAGCACTGTTCACTGGTTGACCAAGAGAGATGGGGTGCCTACTACACTCTGTACATTCTGCAAGGCACCAAAGGGTGGTGACTGCCCTCTCAGTCAGGAAGAGGCAGGAAGCATCTCACTAGCATTGGTGGTCTGGGCAGAATATGGCTGAGACTGTCTCTGCCCTCTCCCATGTCTCTCCTTCACCCAGTTAGACAAGCTGAGGACAATCATCGAGAGTATGCTGGCCTCCTCTTCCACCCTGCTGTCCATAAGCATGACCCCACACAAGCCCTTGACTTACTTCACACCTGGCCGGATTGACCCCAATGCTACCTGTCCGGCCTGCAGCCTGGACCTAGGCCATCAGGTCAGCACACTCGTACAGCGCTATGAGCAGCTCCAGGACATAGTCAGCAACCTGGCTGCCTCCCGGCCTTCCAAGAAGGTCAAGCTCCAGAGCCAGGTGAGTCTCTGCTTGCCTCCCTCCCGGTGCCCTGGAGGCCCTGCAGAGTGTCAGCTGACAGCTCTCCCCAAGAAGGGGAGCTTCAGGCTTGAGATCATCTTTAGCCAGATCCTACAAAACTCCCTGATCCTTCCACAGGGTCACAGCGTGAGTAGCTGTGAGTCAGCTCTGGGGACAGGAGACTGAGAAGAGCTGGTTCAGTGGGCGGGGTGGTCCTGGCTGGTCAAGGGTAGAGCAGTGCCATGTGTGTGCACATTTGAGCAGACAGCCACTCCCCTGGCATGCCCATCTTCCCAATTCCTTCCAGATTTCTCTCCACCAGTCCTGCTCCTGGACTTAGGAATTCATATTTGGATCGTGAATCCAAGATCAGGGAAGGTGGGGAGAGACTACAGCCACTGGAGCTAGACCTAGTGAAGTGCTGCTGTAGGACCAGTGGAGATCTCTCTCTAGAAGCAGCTCAAGAGCAGCACATGTTCCTGAGCCTCAGTCACCTCTGCTGATCACTGTACTTGGCCCAGCAGCTCCTCGTCCTGTGGCAGGGGACACAGGGAGGACTCTTTGAGGCTGCTGGGTGGCCCTACACCTTGGGGCAAATCCATGAGAATGTAGAGGATTGCTGTCCCTGTCTGGCTGAGGACCCAACTATTGGTGGGAAACTGAATGTCACTGTGTAAAATGGACATGGATCTGAAGTGAGCTTCCTTATTGGGTGGTGTAGGGCCACCCAGCAGCCTCAGAGAGTCCTCCCTGTGCCCCCTGCCACAGGACGAGGAGCTGCTGGGCCATGTACAGAGCGCCATCCTGCAGGTGCTGGGTGACTGCGAGAAGCTAAACATCACTACTAGCAACCTCATTGAGGACCATCAGCAGAAGCAGAAGGACATTGACGTGAGCAGCTAGGGCAAGGCTGAGGCCCACACCACCCACCCCTGCTGCTCAGCTGCTGGTTCTTTATTTCTCACTTTCTGGGCCTCCAGATGCTGTACCAGAGCCTGGAAAAACTCGAGAAGGAAAAGGCCAACAGGGAGCACCTGGAGATGGAGATCCATGTGGTAAGCACCAGTTCCCAGGGGCCCTCTGCCCTAGGGTGGTCTTGCTGGCCAGAGAGGTGAGGGGCTGGTGGTGTAGGGCATGGAGATGTGGGCTCTTGGAAAACTGTGCTTCAGGGGTTGACATGGGGGGGGGATGGGCCCTGTCATGGCCCTCTCCCAAGTGGGGCCTTCTCTACTCTTCATGCAGAAAGCAGACAAGAGTGCCCTAGCAGCCAAAGTGAGCCGTGTCCAGTTTGATGCCACCACAGAGCAGCTGACCCACATGATGCAGGAGCTGGTGGCCAAGATGACTGGGCAGGAGCAAGACTGGCAGAAGATGTTGGACAAACTCTTGGTACAGATGGACAGCAAGGTGAGTGCAGGAAAGGCTGCAGGATGGGTGGGGCTTCCACTGCCCTCAAGGCTAGACCCCCATCTGCTGCCTTGGTCTCACCTGGAACCCACCCCCACCCAGCTGGACCGCCTGGAGCTAGACCCTGTGAAGCAGCTGCTGGAGGATCGGTGGAGATCACTGCGGAAGCAGCTCAAAGAGCGCCCTCCACTCTACCAGGCAGATGAGGCAGCTGCCATGAGGAGGTGAGGCCCGGAGATAGCTGGGAAGTGGCATACCTTGCTGGGAGGGCAGGTGGTGGGCTGGGGACCCCCAACAAACTGAATCTTCCAGAGATGTCCCATTGTTGGAGGGACAAATTTTAGAGCTGGAAGAAGTCTTCTAGCTCAGACCCCTTCAGATGACCACAGAGAAAGGGAGTTGGGAGATGCTAAGACTCCCTGGTGAGGTGTGTTACACTGGGCCCTTGGGACAGGGAGAGGTCTGTAGTCTCAGAATTGAGATGTTTCTTGGGGACCTGGGTGGTAGTAGCCTTGAAGCCCAGGATTACCATTCTTGGCCACCAGAGGGGCCCCAAGGCCTATGAAGAGCACCCTTGGGACCCTGCTGACTTTGAGTAAGGATGGCAGGTGCAGGCCGTGTGCGTGGAAGCAGGCACGTGCGAAAGCAGGGCCACCCTACTGAGCCTCCTGCCAACCTGGATTGTGGGCAGCCAACCCCTCTGAGCTCTCCCCCTCTGTGCACCTCACTCCCAACAGGCAGCTCCTGGCTCATTTCCACTGCCTCTCATGTGACCGGCCTCTGGAGACAGCTGTGACTGGACAGTGAGTGCTCACACCTGGCCCAGGGCAGCTGGTGACCATGGTGGGGTGGCATACAGGACTTCACTTTCTCCATCTGCCTACCTCACCTCTTATCTTTTCCTTCAGTGTCCTGGGCCTACTTCCTACCCTGCGCCTTCTCAGGCCTGGCTAGCCTGGGGTGGTTAGGAAGGTCCTTTAGGCAGATGGAATATGGGAGTGGAAGGTGGATCCAGTGATGGAATGTCCAAATCTGAGCCCTCCTACCTCTGTGTCCCTGTCCAGAATGATCCCCCTGATTCCTATGAGTCCTGGTCTGCCAGCACACCGGTCCATTCGCCCCTACACAATATTCGAGCTGGAGCAGGTCCGCCAGCAGAGCCGCAAGTATGGGGCAGTGGAGTCCTGGGCAGGATGAGTGGGAGGGTGGGGTAGAGAAGGCTCCAGAGGGTGCCCTGGGGCACTGTACAGGGCCTGAGGTGAGAACCTGCCACCAGTCGGGTTCTGAACTACCTGCTAGCCCTTCTGCGCTCTCCCCTTTGACTCATTTATACTTTAGCCTCTGGGGAAAACCTTTCTGGGCAAGCTGCCCCAAACCTGTAGGCCTCAAGCCTTTCAAGGGTGCTAGCTCCGCCCGCACAGGGTTTTGCACAATAAAGTCCCATGGTGTAAGGAAGTACTTACGCCAAGTATAGGAATGGAGGATGTGGGGCTCTGTCCGTCTTGGGCTGACCACCCTCCCTTCCACCTGGGCCCCACAGCCTCAAGCTAGGCAGCACTTTCTGTCGGGGTGACCTGTCACCGATGGAGCGGAGTGCAGGGCGCCTGCGCACCATGCACTCCAAGATGCTGATGGACATTGAGAAGGTGCAGATCCACTTTGGAGGCTCTGTGAAGGCTAGCAGTCAGATGATCCACGAGCTGCTGCAGGCCCAGGGCCTCACTTCCCCTTGCTACAAACGGTAGGGGACAGAGTCCAGGTGACTGTGCCCACCCCACAACCATGTGAACAAATGCCTCACCCCACTGTGGTAAAGGGGAAGGTGTGTAAAAACATGTGTGCGTGAACATGCTTGTGTGTATGTGTGGTGGCCTCAAGGTTGCTGTGCTCACTCACCCACCTGTCCCTGGCCCCTTACTCCTGCCCTGACTCCTGGGGACTCCTCAAGAGAGCTGCCTCTGTGTCTCTGGCTAGCCCCATCATAGGTGTGTCCCAGGTCACACTCTTGGTAGCTCTCAGTGACTCCATGCTGTCTGCATCACAGGGTGCCAGATGCGATGGTGGGTTACACCTACTCCACTGTGCCCCGGCGCTGTGGAGGAAGCCACACCCTCACCTACCCCTACCGCCGTAGCCGCCAGCAGCACCTGTCCCAGGGCCCGTATGCTCCTGAGGAGATCCAGATAGCCATGAAGGTCTGGGCCCTACCAGGGAGCCTCAGGGAGGAGAAGGTCCTGACATGCCCCAGATTCCAAGTCATTCTGGAAAAACAACCTGAAGTCACCTCCTGTGCCCTTTGCCTTGGGGCGGTTTCTTAATCAGACCCAATTCAAGCCCCTTCTTTACATCCTGCCTTGGGAAAAAGATTGCCACTCCAGCTCTGCCAGCAGGCACCGCCACCGCAGGGCCTGAGAACCACGTGCTTTCCACTTCCTCCCTCCTTGTCACTGCCCTGGTGCAGCCCAGGGTCCACAGGGAGAGTTGTAAACACCGTTTGGTATCAGGAGTCAGAACAGTGCTCTGCACCCCAGGCCTTCACAGGGGCAGGAGCAGAGGGAAAGGTCTAGGTGTCATAGTGGTAACAGACTGTTTGCCTCTACAGCATGACGAGGTGGATATCCTGGGCCTAGATGGACATATTTACAAGGGACGGATGGATACGAGACTGCCAGGCATCCTGAACAAAGACAGTGAGTATGCAGGTAGCCCAGGGTCCTTACTTGAGTCCTAAGGGACCATCCATTTCCTGCAAGGTTGAGCATGCCTTGGGCCCCACCAGACTGTGGGTGTCACCTTCATCATTTCCCTGCCTCCAGATGTTCAGGTCTCTCCAAAAGCCCCCAGGTAAGTGCTTACGGATAGAAGACAGCTTTCCTGCCTCAGCCGATCACCCAGCAGGTGGTGGCCCCATCTTTTCTTGCTAGTCTTCTCCTGTCACCACCGCTGAGCTGACCCACCTCAGGCTGCTCCCATCAACACAGCCAAGCTGTTCCGGTCCCTTCTTTAAAACCCTGCAAGACACCATCCCTTAGTGATCTCCCACGACCCTGAAGGCTGGCTTCCAGTTCCCCATATCTGAATCGGGCTGCTTACCACTTCCCATTGTGCCTAATTTTAACCCTGCAAGCACCTAGAACTCACCACACCTGGCACATAGCTGATGTGTGTAGTTTTTCAGAGAATGAGTGAGTGTAGAAGGATGGACAGATAGAGGATGCATAGATGGATGGTGGGTGGAAAGAGCAATGGTCAAGAGCTGGGTGAGGGGGGCGCGGTAGGTGGATAGGGGGGCATGTGAATGAGTGAAGTCCCTGTAAAGGGTGAAGGGGCAGATCTACAAATTCTGACCATTCCGCTGAGGCTGGCTGTGACCTGCAGCCTACATCCATCTCCCCATGTGCCTGGGTCTGTCTCAGAAAAGACTCTTCCCTCCACTGCCCTCTGCAGCCTCAGGAGTGTCAAAGCACAAGACCAAGCAGCCCCGGCCCCACCTGCTCAGGCATCAGGCCCTGGGTAACATCGGACAGCTGCCCTCCCGGCCTCAGAGCACCCACCTATTGGCTGGCAACAACTCAGGTAGCTTTCTTCTGGATGAGGTGTCCTTCCATATGGCTTGAACACTGTCCTCTGGTCTCTCCTTCCTGCCCCACCACCCCCTTATCCAGCTAGTTTATACCTTTGTTTCCCTGAAGAGAGGAAAGGCTGGGAGCTGAAGGGTAGGATGGGAAGGAAAAGAGAAAGTCAATTACTGAGTGCTTGGCATGTGCCAGGTCTATGGGGTGGATACTACTGCTGTTCCTGATTCATACAAGAGGACACAGGTTTCTCTGGCTTAAGCCCAGTCCTTCCCTTCTCACATAACAGGATTCTCTTTGAGCTGCTGCTTATGGGATCCAAGYACCTGTAGGACATGGGACCATGATCAGGCCCCAAGGGACCCCTCACTCTGGTGCTGCCTGGAGGTATTCCTCCCACCCCCAGGCCTGGAAAGCCCCCACAGCCCCTGGTCTCATCCAAGGAGCTAGATCACATCTTAAGGTCAGGGAGCAAAGGGCCTCAAGGTTAGCCATACAAGGGCCTGGGTCCCTTGCTAGGATCCTGGGGCCAAAAGGCTTGATCAATACCAGGTAACTATTCAGGTCTCTCCCCTCTGCAGACCTAGGTTTTCTCATCTGTCATCAAGGGGGTGGGGTGCTGGATGCATGCTTCTTAGAGTTAGGGCCCCTGTGAGATTGTCACAAAGGTGTCAACCTTCCATTTATCAAATACGTACCCTCAGTACCTAGTAAATCTGTAGGAGGTTCAAGGATCCCCTGACACCCACACACCATCCCCATCCCCAGCTTGAGGGCTCAAATCCTCTGTGCTCTGTAACACCCTTCCATTCCCACATTCAGTGAGTGCCTGTGACAAAGGAAGAAGGGAAAACAGAAGAGAAAGCTTTGTTGGTAATGGTGCCTCGCCTTCACTGGGGATGCCTTCCTGTCCAGGCAGCATTTAGGAGTTTTTATACATACAAACAATTTTAATCCACACACCAATACTAAGGGGTAGGGACCATTGTTAGTCCCAGTTACAGCTGAGAATACCAAGGCGCAGAGAAGTCTTAGGAAACATTCCTGTGCCTTTATGATCTGTGTGATGTTGTCTAAACAGTCCTGTATTAACATTACCCAAGAGGCAGACTTTTGGCCCCAACAAGAGGGCATGTTTACTGACTAACTTTCCTTCACAGGGATTATAAAGGAGCCCCAACTGCTCCAGCGCTTCTAAGTACTCTGCATACTCCAATCCCACCAGCCTGGCCAATGGGGCCATGCCTGACTTCCGTGTGCTTTGGGTGAGCTGAGTGGGCCTTAGTGGGTATGGGATACATGGTGGAGCTATCTATGCCCTCCTGTCTTGCAGTTTCTTCGAGGCAACATCTCTCCCAGTCAGATATGGCCCATCCACCCAGCCCCACTGAGATGGAACACCTGCAGGACAACGGTTCAGGACCAGAAATGCACATGGACATACCTCCTGAGGAGGAGCTAGAGGAGCCCACTCGGGGACCACGGTCCACCACTGCTCCCTGAATAGAGCTTTAAGTAAATGTTTAAGAAGAGGCTTATATTGGGGAAGGCTTCTCTGTCCAGTCCTGCCTCAGGAAGATGGAGTGAGAAGGCAGTGCCTGCTGCTGGCCAGGCAGCCCCAGGTGCCCCCAGGGTCCTCAGTCTGAGAATTAGACCTCCGGTCCACCACAGAGATGAAGCTGTTCTGAGCGTGCTGGGGCTCCTGGAGGGCTTCACCGTTGAATTCAGGGCAGCCTGGGTTGGGCCTCCTCTCACACCCATCAGCCAGCCCAAGTGTGCTGCTGCCTTCAGGGATGCAGCCCTACCTTCTGATGTGGAGGACTGGCCCAGGCCACTGGATCCATGGTGTGGATGTGCTAACTGTATCTTGGAGTAGAGGGCAGAGCTGCTTGCTACTGCCCTGCTGCCAGCTCAGGGCAGCTCCTGGGTCCTCACACAGGTCCCAGTGAAGCAATGCCATGAACCAGAAGCAAAAACCCACAGCCCCTGGGAAGGTTACCATGCTCTACTGTCTGCCCTTGAGTGGGCCACACAGCCAGCCACAGCCTGAAGGCCAACCCCTGGGAAGATGGAGAGCTGGGGTTCAAGAGGCATGGCTTGCATTTTGTGGCAAGGCTGAGCCTTCAACCTGCTCCAGGCAGCTGCTTGGCCCATTTGGTCACCTCCTCACTAGCCCCAAACCTACAAACCTATGGAAAAAATGCACCGCTATTGGTGGGAGGGTACGGAGGAGTACTGTGTGATTGAGCCGGCAGCAGCTGCCAGGAACAAGCCCCCAATTGAACCTCCTGAACTTGGGTCACTGGCTGAATTCTGGGGTCCCCCAGGAGACAGGCAAGCTGGGGACAAAGAAGGCCTGAATCATCAAAGCAGTTTCTACCTCAGGTCTTTTCCCACATCAGAGGGAACCAAATGCCCAGAGTGGAGGATGGGGCTCTCCCCACCCCCAGTTCCCATCATCCCTCACATGGGAAAGGGATGTCTCGGGTAAGAGGCTCATTTGGGGGTGTGAGAAGAGGGGGCAAATCACACAGGAAAGAGAGGCAGGAAATGGCCCAGAAATAGGTTTCTCACCCCTGGCCTGGTGTGGGCAAAAGTGGGCTTGGTGGGGGATGCTGTGGGAGGTGGGATGCACCCTGAGGGTGGTTCCCTGCTTCCTGATCCCAAGAGTCCACGTATCTTTATGTAATCACATAATGCTCATGGCTGGGTGGGAAGAAGAGCTGCTTGGACAGTGGGCACCCCAGGCCAGTACCCTTTTCTCTGTACACAGGAGGCAGCGCCAGGTCATCCCTTCCCCCTTGGCTCCTATTTCTCTCACTAAAGCCCCACCCTGGCAGTGAAATGCCAGAAGGTCAGCTCAGTTTCCCTGGTCTAGAAGCCAAATTCACAGGCTTGGCAGGGAGGAGCAGGTCAGCTCTCCTCACCCACAGAGGACAGGAGTCACATTCCCCAAGTTGCCGGGGCATGGCCGCTCTACCCTCTCCCAGGCTGGCACACACCTGAGTGCACCCCAGCCCCGGTCCCAGCAGCCTCTAGTGGTGTCACAGCCTGAAAGCCCACGTTCCTTCCAGGGGCTTCCCCTGCTAGCCTGGGAAAGCACAGGTGGGCAGGGGCAGAGCTGAGGCTGGGAGGAGTCTCAGGGGTTTCCAATCGGGAAACAAAACTGAAAGGACAAACCCAGCTTTCACGTGCAGTAGACAGGGCAGCTGGGCTCACTGTTCCACTCCACTAAAGGAGGGGGTGCCCCCAATCAGGGTGAGAAGCTGCAAAAAGGCCCAGAGGCAAGGTGGTTAACAACCTGGCTGGGGCCCTTAAGTTTCACTTCACTTTAGGCCAAAACCTCCAGCCCCCAGCCCAGCAGTTCTGCCTTTCAATAGCCCTTGGTCCCCCTCAAGCCACTGGAAGGAGTAAAGCTCAAGGCAGGGCTGCCCCTACCATTGCTGGTACTGGCTGCCACATGGTGGTTGTCCATGGCTCCAGGAGGAATTCCAACCATGTGGCAGGTCACTCACTCTCAGCCTGTCTCACTCACCTGAACATGTACTGGAGGACAGCAAGAAAAGGTGCTGGCCAAGGACAGCCAATGCTGCCCATTCTAATACCTGGAGGACTGCAGTGCAGGTGGAGGAAATGGAAGCAAGTGTCTCCAGGAACCCACCCACTCTCTGGCTCCAACAGCTGTGGAGTCATACAAATACATACTCATTGACACACCTCCCCAAGGGAGGCTGAGGGTAGGAACAGTAAGATGGTCCCAACTGGAAGATGCAGGGAGTGCCTAGGGCAAAGCGGCATTTGGGAGAACACCAGCTTTCCCAGCAGCAAAAAGGATTGGTTTCCAGGGCCAGCCCTGTGGTGCACACCTGTATGCCCAGCTCCTTGGGATGCTGAGGAAGGGGATAGGCAGGCATGCAGCTCAGTGATAAAGCTGTGCTCAATCCCCAGTGGGGTTGGGGGTGGATGGCTTCCCTCCAGGCTCAAGGGTTCTGCTGTTCCCAGCTATAGACAAGGACCAAGTCTTGCAACATCCAAGTCAGACTTGTCCCTACTCTTGCTTGTACTATCAATCCCCCCATGCAGATGCCATCCAGAAAGAACAGCCAAATTCAATGGGGCCCCTCCCCCGACCACAGCACAACCAGAGTCCCCACAATTCTCTTCCCAAAGGAATAGCTTCTACCCAGGAAAATAAAGGCACTGCAAAGCAGGGAAGTTAAGTCTTTTTACGTTTTTAAATTAAAATTCACTCTGGTGAGATGAGATTTTGACTTAGGAACTCCACCCAAAGGTGGAGCTCCTCCAACCCTGGACACACATGGGGAAAGCTTAGGTGACCAGAGGACAGTCAGGGATGGGACAGTTAGGTCCCCCACTGGGCAGAGCCTGGCCTTCCAAGCCAGCTCTTTAGTCCTATAAGCCTTTCATACCCAGCTGGAGATAGTGACAACAGCTAAAAGTCACCAGAGGGGCCACAAAACAAGGGTGGCAGAGGAGATGAAGAATCAAGAGCATGGCAGTGTTGGGGCTAGGGGGCAGGGAGAGCCCCGTGATGCCAAGAAGGCCCTTCTGGGACCTCTCCTGCAGCTGCTAGGTAGCTGTCCCCAGGATGGGAGGAGTTGGGATCTTCTTCCTGATGGCAGGTATGAATTCTGAGTGAAGGCAGCTCACATCCGACTGCAAAGGACATTCCACGTGACTTTGAAAGACCCCTTTGCCCAGAGACTGGACTGGGGGAAGAGCTGCTGGCCAGGGAAGGATTCTCGTGGCTCTTCCCCTCTGACCCCCGCACCTCAGGTGTATCCGCCTCATGCTCACATACATTAGTTATATTTATATATTCATATATATTATAGTTATATATTAAAAAGAGAAAAAAACTTGCCCAAAGAGAAACTCCTGAGGGACCCAAGTGGCCCAGGAAGTTTACTGTCCCCCCACCCACAAAAATTCTTTTATAAAATCTTCCAGTGCGATCTTCAGGAAACCCCAAACCTCCCCAGCTCCCCCCTCCCTGACCCTCTTGTGTCCCCACAACCCCAGACTGCCCCCCACTCCAGCCCAGCACTTGGAGGCATCCAGTCTCATCTCTGGCCATCCATCGCTGCCATGGCTTTCTGCTGGGCGCCCCCCTGCTGTGCTCCAGGGGGCCAAGTGGGCTGTGGGCAGTGGAGGTGGTGGAAAGAGGTTGGGGAGGAGGGCGGGATCCAGTGAGCCTGGTGGCTGGGAGGGGAGGAGGCCCAGAAAGGACTGAAGTTTGCAGGGGGTGAGCAGGCCACCGCAGTCATGGGGCTGTTGTTGCTCTGCAGGCCCTCGGAGGCACGGAGCTTGGAGAACATGGCCAGCGCATCGGGGAAGTTGGGCGGTGTGGCAGGTGTGTTGCTGGGAGTACACATCTGCAGGGAGAGAAGAAGATGTGGGGAGGGCTGCCTGCAGGGTCCCAGAGCCCTTTACTCCCATCGCTCAGCCCACAGCTTCAACAGGATTGAAGCACCCTCTCTCCCCTCCAGAGTCAATAAAAACAAAAAACCAGGGCAAACACATAAATCTCGCCAAAGCCAAAGGGTCATCCTTGGAAATGACACCAAGGGTATCAGAAAAATCAGCCGTCTCCCTCCATCATCCATCCTCAAGATGTTCCCAGGGTGCTGGGTAAGAAAGAACAGCCAGCTACAGAAAAGCTACTCTCRTGTTGAGTTTATTCCACATTCTCAGTCAAAAAACCCTGGAGCCCTCACCTCCAAGATCTTACTTCTCACAAGGAGGCCTGGTTGGCTGAACTCTTTCCATATTGTAAACAAGTAAACAGGCTCAGAGGTCAAGTTCATGACAGAAAATGCACTCAAAAGCAGGGTACAGTTGAGAAGGCCCGTTCCAGGCTCCCAGGTCTTCAGGCTCAAGGTCTTAACTGTGGGAAGGCCACACTCTGCTGGGCCAGAGCTTCCCAGTGCAGCATCCAGATTTGGACTCCCTAAGTCTGGAGTCTCCAGYCTCATTGCCTGCCTGTCCTTGCCCAGAGGCTTGGCAGCTCGGTCTAAACAGCCCCTCCCAGTACTCTTATGGGGGTAATTCCAAAGAGTCCAACAAGAGTAGTCTTCTGCCACTGCCCTTGGGGCAGGGAACAGGCAGCCCAAAGAACAAAACCTACACAAACTGGGCTGACCTCAAAGTCGTTTCTCCCTTTCCCAGGAAGCCATGGGAGTCCTTCTTTGAATTTCTCCTAATTTTAGTAACACTGGCCCCACCCCCAGGCACAGGGCTGAGGTGGGGGCAAGACTCTAGGACTTCACCATGAAGGAGGAAGGCTTGCAGCTCTGCAGTTAAACCTAAGGCAGAAACTGAGAGGGGGACCCCACCCCACCCTGGTCAGAGGCTGGTGCCACATCAGCTCCTAGGGGAACTCTGACCATTGTCTTCCCAGGGGCCCTCAGGGGAGGCCAAAGAACTCAGCCAGAAGCCAGGCCCCACCCAGACATTTCCCTCCTCCCTCTTGGGATTCCCTG